GGACTCTTAGATTGTTCCACCCTTCTTTTCATATGGCATTTCTTCATCACTATCCGCATTTCCCCTCTGGCATTTACTCCCCTCCTTCCATTCGAGCACTCCTACTCCCGAATTGCATCGCACGTTTCGCCCTTCTGGCAGCACCTTCCAGTCTGAGTTGTCTCGCAGCGAGTCGATGTAACAATTTGTCGCCAGGTAGTCCAGCTATCACCAGACTAGATTGAATCATTTCATCTGAGCTAGTTGACTCTTCATCCTGGCCGTTTGCGGCCCCAACTCTCGGATCAACTTTGAGGTATATGGGCAGGTTTGAGAGAAAGGCAATCAGACTTAGGGAAAGATAGGGGTATCTGGTCTCTTTGCCATGAGACGCTATGACCCGATCATCTCTGCCCAAGTTGCGAGTATGGATTCGATCTACATCTAGCTGAAGCTAATTTTAGGCATCAGATATCTGACAGTCAAATGGGAAAGGTAGAACTTTACCTCATCGAGGAGGCCTTGCCACTGGCCGTGCTTGAAAGCGTTCCTGTGCCGTATGTAGCCACCAATCAACTCATCGGCTCCGAGCCCACTTAGTATTACTCGTGCTGGAGATTCATAGAATTCGTCCTCCCCTTCATCTTTTCGGAGATGTCCTCTTCCTCGAGATGCGAAATATAGTGCTTGCGCGAGAGACTGAAACACAAATAGTATTAGTACGTGCCTAGGTAGACACGTTGAGGGAACATACAAAGTCCATAATTGTTTTTGATGGGGCCATTAGCTGCTCGATGGTCTCACGATGAGCTGTAGATTCCTTGATACCTAGTTAGGGTGCATAATACCACCAAGTAAATCGGCATACTTCATACGATATGTTGATCTCCACCTGTCCTGATTGTCAGCGACATCTTTTATTATAGGAATAAGACGAACAAAATTCCATATTCTATCAGGTGCCAGCCGCTTAAACTCTTCCAGCTGAGCCAATCCTGTAATGCGATCTGGAACCATATACTTCTGACTATCGGGGACTGTAGGTGATGGCACGTCGCTCTTGGATTTCCTATTTCTTTTGGAAGACGGCGGGATGCTGCCATTTAAGGTCCGAGGATTTTCGAAGGCAACATTTAGTAAATCGATAGGTTCAGTCACAGGAAGATGTCTGCCATATTAATGTTAACTTCAAATGCACAATTTAGGTTGATATAGATCCTGACCGGTGAGCAAGAAAAGCTACAACTGTTGAATCTATTCCTCCAGAGAAGAGGACTGCGACTCGACTGGAATTGGTATCTGAGCTGAGGGGGCTTGTAATTAGAAAAATTGCTAGCAGGCATAGCATAAATACACACCTGTGATATCGAGGGATGTTCTGGGTTCTCAGTGCGACAGACCGGTCGAGATGATACAGGTATTCATCAACCGTGGCCTTCCATAGATTAGAGAGGGGGTCAACCGGAATCGGATGATCTAGAGGAGGAAGTTCCGAGCACAATCGCCTTGGTGCCGTCTTGGTTAAATGTTAGAATAGATAGATTGTTGCCAATGGTCGAGACGCACAAACTCATCTGAAGTGGTGGCACTTTTACGGGGGATTTGATTTAGTTTCAAACTCTGTAATTATGGTGAGCGCACAAAAATGCTTCAAAATAGGTTAATGACCGGTTCAGTAAGAGAAAGTGAAAAAAGACAATCTGCGAGCAGTTCTTCGAATCCTTGGTCTCCATTAGATACTGAGGTTAATGTAAAGCTCTGGCTTGTATCTGCGGCGTGTTTGATGACGAGAGATCGTCTACCCAGGGGATCCCTTCCAAAATATACTGTCTTTGTAGTATGCTAATATGATTATGATTTTAGTACGTGGACTGCTTGGAATACACTTGCGTGGTTCACCTGATAGAAAACAAAAGCGTAGCTGCAAGGTCCTGAGCACCTTAATTGCAGGAGAGGATAAATGCCTCTCACGGTCCTTCAACTGTTCCTAAGATATCGGTAACAGTCGCGTCTGGTTGACAAAGTTGATCAAAGAGTTTCATTCCATCGTTCTCATGGGCCGTAACATCGACACCCTCAAAGATCTAGGGGAAAGTGTCAATCAATTTCCATCAGGAAATGCCGCGGCTCACCTCTCCATTCCAGCAGAATATATTGCCATCCCGCTCGTGTGGCTGCAGGGTCACTTCGTCTCCTCGGAGATGAAGAACAGAGCTAAATACGCATAGATTATACATTTCGATTTGAAGTTTAATCTCTCTTTGAGCGCTTGGTCCTAACACGGTTTTAAGTCACCATATCTTGGTTGAAAATTGCTTTCTCTAACCTCGTTGGGCATTCAAGCGAACTAAAGACCTCCACTCCCCTTCGTTTCGCGTATTTTCATCCTGGTAAATTGTGAATACGATTCCACACATCGCGATGAGAGGTGGTCCCAAGGGTGGCAGAGGAAAACAGAAGCGGAGTTTCAACTTCCTGTCGCCTGCCATGGCATCGCGGCGCAGTGTAGGAAGCCATATCGTTTTTCACGGTCGAACTACATCTGTTCGCTCTGGTGGATCCAAAGCTAGTAATGCTACGGTCAATGCAAGCTTAGCTCGTCGCTTGCTCTTTCCATACCACCATCCATCTCAGCCGCTCCCGCAAATCATAACTGGATTCACAGAGGGTGACGTATTGGAATCAAACATGAACACGAATCCAGCCCTTCAAGCCCTCAACGATGAGCTGTACGACTTCCTGGCCCTTTCGGTCCGCGGGTTCATCTTTCCATGGTGGATGAAGATCAGTCCAAGGGACAGAGAGTTTCCTCAAGAAGTCACACAGATTATAACCCACGTGTTAAGGCAGGTAGAAGACCGTGTTATGGTTGCAGACGTGCCTCTTCTCTTGGCAAATGTCCTACCGACACTCCTTAAACAGCACTATGCCGACTATCATACTGCTTCTGCCAAAGTAGCGACATCGTATGTAACTGGGCTACCTTCTGACAACGATCCACTGGCCCATATTTTCCATTCACTTCAACCGCATATGGCAATTTCCGCAGAGGGCAAAATAGATCCAAACTACATACGTCAAGCCGTAGAACATGTCATGAAGGCTTGTCTTCCACCTGAAGATTGGGAGTCGGAGAACGAGCGCAGCATCGTACGGGAAATCATTGTCAAAATCATCTTGGAAAATGCCTTCCCTCGATTAAGCCAAGGATGGTTTATACAAAAGAATTTACTAGAGCTTTTAGGCTCACCAAATGATTTTGTTGCTCCGGTAAGCCTTTGGAACCTTACGGTTGCAGCTGGACTGAAAAGAACGATTAGCCACCTGCTCCAGCTCGCGCAAAGTCTACGTTCAATCTAGTGGTCGTATTCGTTTTATCAGCTGTACAAAGTATCTCTGGGTTTGCATTAGCGGCCATATCTGGCGTACAAGCTTGCTTACAGACCATCGCCGACGTGAACAAGGCACCTCCCAGAAAGTATCGAACCGACCCTACCAGAAGAGACCTCGCAACTCCTAGCGTCGAGATGTTGGCCGAAGTATTGACTATGCGACGGCGCTCGGCGACCACTGCTATCCTCGTGTTGCTCCAGCTAATCGTGGTATTCTTTGTACCGTTTCTTAACCAGTACGTATATGTGTCCTATACTTGGAGAGTCCGACCGCTGACCTCAACAAAGATTGATACCTCATCTTTTCTATTCTCGCATCAACGCACGCGTCTTTACTCATATCATTATTCAATCCAAGAAAGTTCTCTTTCCTAATGGATTCCCTGGACCACCACCTGTCGAGCCAAATATGGAAGAGCAGATGCTCATTCGTGAGCAACTCGAGAGACGCTTATTCGACGTTATTCCCTGTGAGTATCAACATTGCTCCTGAAATCAAATTCGTAATATTGACGACATACTCGTGAAATACAGCAATGATAGGCAAGCTTATCTACGGCCCAAACCTGGACGTTCAAAGGCGTACGGTCAAGGATATCCTCGACCCGCTTAGTTCAAGCAAATGCAACCTCCATCTCCTCATGTTTATTCTCGATGCCATAATCGTCACTGTATTCCCCGAGTTGGCTCTCAACGCGCCCGACTCAGAGATATCCAAGAACGGCGCTCTAGGCTCAGAACCTGATTCCCCAACACAGACACCACAGCTGCACGAATACCCGCGAGAAACCTCCGTTTCTCCTCTCATCGGTACCCCATAATACACAACTTCCCGGTCAACTTTTCCTTATTCCTTACGACTATCTGATGCATCGTGTACTCTTACAAGCAAACTAGTGTAATCTGAATCGATTGTTTTTTATGCTCTGCTAAACTCGTCTGCATTCGACAAAAATAGGGTTGAGAAACAGAAAGAGTTAAAAATGGACAAATGAAAGCACATATTTTTATCCTGGGAAATAAACAGGTCAATTGAGTCCGTTCTCCTTTCAATGACAGAGGAGGCGAAGTTCTCTCGAACAACGTATGCCAGGGTATGCTGTCCAGTACAGACAGTCAGCCCAAAGATAGCGGAGCGGTGCTTGACGCAATATATGGCGCCTAACATTAGCATGCACCAAAGTGCATGGGGACAGGGATACATGGTGAGGTGGATTATAATGAATGAATGTGAGTTTGTAAGGACAGGGTACGAGTTGAGCGATAAAGCGGGATATGGAGTGCAGGGGTGTAAATGCCAGAGGGGAAATGCGGATAGTGATGAAGAAATGCCATATGAAAAGAAGGGTGGAACAATCTAAGAGTCC